GAAAAACCCTTCTTACCCCCCCCCCCCTCCCCCCTTTTCAAAAGAAAACAAAAACCAGCTTTTGAATAAGCCCAACGGCAGTCTAATTAATTAAATTATTCAGTCTGAGACGAGATCAGCCCCGGTTTGGATCAGAAGAGAATGATTTGCTTTCTTCATTTTGAACAGTCCTTCTTCTTTTTGACCAGCCATGTCTAAAACTAAACGAGTAAAACAGCCACCTGTTTATACGGCCACTTTTCTCCTTTATGGTATGGTGGCCGTTTTACACAGTCGGTTTGACTGTGCACACAAGGTACACCCAATTGTGTGCGTGTATAGCAAACTATGATACCTGGGCCTATAGCCTTTAGCAAAATTTGAATTTCTGCGAACGTAATTGCGTTCGTAAAATTAAAAATGAATGACCTGGAAGGTTAGGCCTATTCACATTTTTCAAAAGGCTCAGACCAGTACGGGCGAAATACTCCAGAAGGCACCGGCCCAGACTAATAACATTTTATGTGGCGAACAGCTTGGCATCGGAACGGACTTGTTTGAGCCGAGACCAGAGACACTAAAATATAGAGACAGGAAACGAGGCCTCGCGGTCCGTGACAACAGTGCATTTGCGAACGTGACCGCTGAGAAGCGAGCTAAAAATAACCAGGCGCGGTATCGACAGCGAAGCGCGTCGCGTCTAGCCTAGGCCTAGCGAGACCTAGGCCTTATCGAAACGAAGCGCGTCGCGTCTAGGGAGGCCTAGGCCTAGCTTTCTGTGGCTTAGGCCTAACGCAATCAGAGAACTGGCCAAGGTTGCATATTTGTAAACACTGCCTCTACAATATATACTCTTCTGGCCTACAGAAAAATGTACACATGTGGAAGAAAACAGGACAACAGATTTAAAAATTGAATTCTAGATCTAGGCCTAGTTATAAAATAATGTTGATCTAGCATAAAACCAATACATGTCTTGATAACGTAGACCGAAAACTAGATCTAGATCTACATCAACATCTAGATTATCTAGATCTAATCTAATCAGTGTCAGTTACCAGTAGTTACATAAGAAAAAAGTCATCTAGATCTAGATCTATATAGGCTTCCAGCATAATGAAAATATGCCTGCCTGAGCCTAAATATAACTTTTATCTAGCTTACAATATAAGCAGTTTAATTTAAGATAGCCTAATAAAGGTTAATACATTTTTACATATTTTACTAATTAGTTACATATTATTAGCCATGCATGGGGTCTGTACTGTGGGTAGGGAATAGTTGGCGAGAAAAGAAAGAGAGCATGCAATAGCATATAGATCTATAAGCCTATAGGCAATGATGAGGAAAGGCAACAAACTGTAGAAACAGAAAACAGATTTCGTTTTGTGTAGGCTATAGGCATATATGGATAAAAACAGGAATACAATGCGACAGATCGAACCCACCAGAGGCCTATAAAATAAATATTATATAACATGAACACGTTACGCATCTTTCATGGATTAATAGCACTTTACTGAAACTGGCTCTTACAAGTGGGTGAATGTGACAGTCTTTCTTACTAATCTTAGACTGCTTTGCCTTATATGCATTGTCTCTTGCTGATTCTTATGTCCATACTTCTCTGTCAGGCACATAAATTTGGGACATTACAAACTTCAAGGGTGGTCCAGACAGGGTCAAGCTAGCACTTCCTTATTGAATTAAGTAAGCTTTGTAATTTCTTTGTCTCTTTAATTTTGTTACATGTATTCCGTAGTAGATCTATTACAACAGGACACTGTCTTCTTAGATGTCAAGGTTTTGTTTTTTCCGCTTTTAATTTCTTCTTCAAAACTCTCACATCACATTGCAGACACTTGATCTTTTGTCATGGACAGGACCTGTATCCTTTGGAACTGGCCTGAAGGGAACAATAATTATTTATTTTGGAGGGTTTGGAACAGTAAACAGCATGGGCACAGCATTCAGCACTAGAATTGTTCAATATGCAAATTTCCAAAGGCAGTACGTACAGTTCAAATTGCTCAGCGCACAATTGTGACAATGCATTTCCATGGTACACGTATAGGTGACATGCTATCTTGAAAACCAAAGTAACGTCAGCCTTCCGATGATAATTCATTACCCATTTAATTATTTTTTTACATCAGAAATATATTATAATTTTTTGGTAGGAGTGCGAAAAACTTAGATTGTAACACAGGGTTTTACAGGTAGGCCTATACTATAGACCGGTGCTCACAATAAATAATACACTGTGGTGGCCCATATTCTCACGTGTGCAGTTAAATATTGCAAAATTCATAGATCTACATATAGAATATAGATCTATACTCCTTTAGTTTCATTTCATAAAAGAGAAAAGTGCTTGATTGATTAACAGTTTTGAATGCGTACATCTACTGGAGACTTTAAAATTGATAAAATCTTTTTTGGATAGTTAAATGACATTAGCAGGAGACCAGGTAAAGTGGATAAAAAGGTTTATTTTAGTTTTAGTAGAGGTTTTACGGCGCTCGCAACTGATAAATAAATAAACAAATAAATAAATAAAATAATTAAATAAAATTTTTTTAAAGATAATAATTAAGACGGAAGGCATTTGAAAACAAGTGCCTTTTCTTAGGTGGACTACTCTAATCTAGGATACAGTCTAGTTTTCATACAATAAACTTGAATCTTGCCTGGCATATTTGGATTGGTTTAATTCTGATGAGAAGCTTCAATTTTAAAAATAATTAAATACTAAATATGTTTCACTGCTCTATCTAGATCTAGTCAGTTCTGCAGAGGGAGGAGTCGAAGCGCGACGGTACGGTACATAGCCTACGTATGCATTCTCCAGGTCTACAGTGTGAGTGTGAGTGTGAGTGTGAGTGTGTGTGTGTGTGTGTGTGTGTGTGTGTGTGTGTGTGTGTGTGTGTGTGTATGTGTGCGTGTGTGTGTGTGTATGAAGGCGATGATAATGTAATTTTTAACTTTTTAAAATTTATAGAACTTATCAGTGAATTTTCAATGCTCTCATACTCTCAAACTGATGAAGAATTAAAGGGGAAATCAATACTGGGTGATCCCAAAAAATTCTTTCAGATCAATTGAAACACTTTTTTTTGGGTGTTTTCTTTTTTTTTGGAGGGGGGAGGGGTGGGAAGCGCTTTATTTTACAGCGCCTGCGACAGCATAGGTCTCATATGAACAGGCAGGGCACACTACACTTCTTCAGTTTGGTAGGAATTTTTAATTTTGCCCAGGTGGGGGGCCATGCAAAGCCTAGCCTACTCTTTTGATTTTAAGAATACCAAGGGATCCTTAACTTGCTCAACTTACATACGGGACCTCCGAGATTTTTCGCCCTTATCCGAGAAGGCTAGGTGTTAGATCTTACTTACCATAAGATCAGGTGACTGAAAGACAGCAGTCAGAAAGGAGCCAATGAATGGCAGTTGTAATAGTTAAAGGCTGCAGAGAGAGCCAGGAGCCCCAGAGGAGGAGACAAAAGGGGTGTGTGGGGGAGGGGGGCAGAAAGTGAGGAGGAAAACACACGACAGAACATAGAGCTGGGAGGGGAAAGGAGAAAACTTTAGAGAAGAAAAATGTATGTCCCTGTCATGTTTCAAACCTATTGAATGAGAGGCAAACATTGTAACCCAGACCACGATCAGACCCCCCCCCCCCCCCCAGAAAAACGTGTATTATTCGCTAGATCTAGATCTAGATCTAGTATAGCAAGGTTTAACAATGTTTCGTCCTCCTGCACATGCACTGGCATGACGGGACGAACAAGGCTAATCGACTGCACTGTCACTTGTGTTGTGAAGAAGTAGAGGAAGGAGTACGTAGTAGAAGCAAACATTATAATAGGTCTATGTAATGATAATATATTATCTAATCTAGATCTATATCTATATCTTTAGGATTCTAGGTCTAGAGTCTAGGTATTTTAGATCTAGAATCTAGATCTAGATGTAGATTCTAGATCTAGAAT